TTTTATTATCTCATTCTGCTTCAAGCAGAATAGGGATGATAGCCTTCTACTGACTTTTCAAGCCACTCTACACGGCATTCATCAGTGTGGAAGATGAATATTGAGTATTCTTTTAGAAGTACAGGGGTTGGACAAAAATATGGATGCTCAGGCTCTATGGCATCCCCTAACCACTGTATTCAATGCAAACTGATAGAGAGAGCCAGCAACTCCAAAAACCATGTAATGATTTTTATTGAATATACAGGGAGACATAAAAGCAAGCTGACTTTTATGCCACTCCTGTATATTCAATAAAAATCATCACATGGATTTTGGAGTTTCTGGTTCTCTCTATCAGGTTATGAGGTACAGTGTCAAAGGTTATGATGGCTTATACAGTTTTCGAGTTTTCGTCTGATAGAAAACAACTGCTGAAAATGGGACTTCAGAGCTCAATCTCAGTCTTTCAAAGCCCATGTCCACAAAACTTGTGCTGAGGAAACTCCATAGGCAAAACATTCACGGGGGAACTAAAATTGCCAAACCACTAGTGCCCAATATTGATGTTCAGAAGAGGAGAGAGTGGTGCAGCACCCATAAATCGTGTACAATCGATCAATGGAAGACCTTAATATGGTCCATTGAATCAAGCTTCCGACTGTTCCCCAACCACCGGACGTGTTTATGTATAACAAACACCATCCCAAGTTTACAACCAGGTTGGTTTAGGCAGCCATATGTGGGCATTCTGTGGGGCCCATCATCACCTTGAAAGGTAGAGTCACTGCCAGCAACTGTGTGCAAATGTTTGCCAACCATGTGCAACCCATGGTGAAGACATTGTTTCCCGAAGATAGCACTATTTACCAAGACGGTAATGCTCTGATTCACACAGCTGGTGTTGTCAAATTGTGGTTTGATAAGCATGCAGATGATGTCTCACACCTTCCCTGGGCATGACAATTGCTGGACCTCAATGTCATAGAGCCACTATGGCCAATTTTAGAGAACAAGGTTCAGGCTTGTTTTCTACCTCTGGCATCTCTGCTAGTACTGGAATGATTTTTGCATACAGAGTGGCATCAGATTCCATTATCCATCATCCAAAACTTCAGGCTTCAGGCTGTCTTGGATGCCAAAGGCAGTCCAGGACCATATTAGGTAACGATTTTGTTCTTTTACCTGATGTTTCCATAATTTTTTTCAACCTTTGTAATTGTAATGTAACAAGGAATATTACGTACTTCGAGTTGATGGATTAATTAACAAAGCAAATTCCACATAACAATGAATTTTAAGCTTTGGTTTAAATGAGTTTTTAAAGCCCAACTTTGACTTTGTAGGGTAAAGCATTACATCTGTAAACTGTTTCAAATCTATCTTTTATGTATACTTAAAGTATGTATTGTACCTGACTGGAAAAGCCCATGTTCAGCTAGTGCCTTATAAAAACTTCAATAATCTTGAAAGCTTTAATGTGAATATTCCATAGACAACAGGAGCACTATACTGTAAGCTGTGTATACCAGCGGTTGTCAACTTTAAAACTATAGAGGGCCTCAAGTGCAGCTTCTGACATTTCCATGCTGCACAATAGCAATACAATTTCAGACCTCAAGCTTTGCTGCATTTTTTGCAGCATGTTTCAATGCACACTGAAGAAGCTGGAGTATAATAACCCCAGCATTGGTGTTAGTGGGGACCTTAATAACCCCCAACATTGGTGTCAGTGAGTGGAATCGAACATTGGTGTCAATGAGTACAATAATAACCAACAGCATTTGTGTCAGTGGATGCTATAATAACCCCAAACATTGGTGTCAGTGAGTGCAATATTATCCCCCAGCACTGTTGTCAATGAGTGAATTGTTGTTAGTGAGTTCATAAAAAATTCGCAGCACTGATGTCAGTGGACACAATAATACCACTCAACATTGCTGTCAGCGAATGTAATAAAAAATCCCCAATATTCGTGTCAGTGGATCAAACAGTAACACCAAACATTGATACCAATGGATGTAATAATAACCCCCAACATTATTGACAATGGATGCAATAATAACCCCCAAGCATTGGTGTCAGTGGATGCAATATTAACCCCAATATTGGTATCAGAGAGTGCAATGGTAACTCCCAGCATTAGTGTCATTGGACAAATAAATAACCCCCCAGTATCAGTGTCAGTGTATGCACTAATAGCTTTCAGTTTTGGGGTCAGTGGATGTAGTAATAACCCCCAACATTGGTGCCAGTTGAGGCAATAATAACCCTCAGCATCAGTGTCAGTGGCCGCAATATTAACCCCTAATATTGGTGTCAGCAGTTTCAATCATAATAACCCACTCCACATTGGTCACTGGCAGGGGAAATCAACCCCCCTATTCCCTCTGCATTGGTGGTCACGACATTGAAAGTTAACTTCCCATTATCCCCCACTGGTGATTATGGCAGTAAACATTAATCTCCCCCCCCCCCACATTGGTGTTCAAGGCAGTGAGAGTTAACTCCCTCCCTTGCATTGGCAGTCATGGCAATGAAAGTTACCTCCTCTACTCCCCTTCCTGTATTGGTGGTCATAGCAGAGAAAATTAATCCCTCTACTTCCCTTCCTGTGTTGGTGGTCATGGCAGTGAAAGTTAACTCCTCTATCCCCTTCCTGTATTGGTGGTCATGACAGGGAAATTTAAACCCCTCTCATTGGTGGTCATGGCAATGAAAGTTACCTCCTCTATTCCCCTTCCTGTATTGGTGATCATGGCAGGTAAAGTTAAACCCCTTCCATTAGTGGTCATAGCAGAGAAAGGTAACCCTTCTACTCCTCTTCCTGTGTTGGTGGTCATGGCAGTGAAAGTTAAACCCCCCCCCCCCCCATTTCCCCTCATTGGTGATCACTTACCTTTCACAGGCTCCTGTGCCATATTTTCCCTCTTCCCAGGCCAGGACTTTACTTGCACTGTAGGCTGAGATAACTCCACTCACAGTAAAGTCGCTCTTTCTGTGTTGGGTGCTGTAACACAGGACGCATAAAGCACCCGGCACCCTGCTGTCACTGTGCTATCTATTGGTGCCAAATAGCCCATAGATCGCACACATGAGGTCGGCAGGGCACATACAGCCTGTGGATCTCCATTTTATTAATTGTCTTGTCGTACTAAGCTAGACTAAAGTAAATATTTGGCTGTTTTAAGCACCATTTATATGAAGAAATTTGTTTTGTACATTTCAGGGCAACAAGATCAGATTGAAACCACTGCAAGTTACAATGCATTATTTTTTTATTTGTGGTCTTTCACTCTGCATAAATCTAGAAGGTACACAATGTTCTAAATTGTAGCTGCAGAAACATTTTTCAATGAAACAATCACACAGCAGTAAAAAAAGGATAAGGTTTGTGGCAAGTGCAAATTTGTTATCTAAGGAAGATACACAAAGCTTCAGCTGTGAAAAAAAACTGAGCTAGCTACAAGTGTAGGGTGGGGTAGTTCAATTCAAGAAATTTTTTTAGGAAGGAGCAACCGAGGTGGCTATATAGAGAAAAAAAAATGTATTTTATCATTCTTTCATGATTGTTTTGTTGGAGATTCTGCCATATAATGCATTCATTTATTTTGTTTCTCCTTTTCTTCCAGTTCAATGTTCCCTGAAGCCCTACAAGTTATAATGGGTTTATAAAACACAATAGCAATAACCCAAATCAAGAGTCTCTTATCTTGAGCTTGAACCTTGAAGCTGTGAGCTGTTTATCAACAAGATGCACACCAAAGCCATGAGTATAAAAATAGCTCTGCTTTGAAGCATTTCAGAGCTGAGGCAGTATATAGTTAATTCTGCTGTATACTAAGCTCTTACCAAATATGGATAAAACGCAGAGAGTATGCAAAGAAGCAGCCGTCATTCACAAAACACAGTGTCGTCACTCCAACCTACATCTAATTATCCTTTCAACAATAAAAGGGAGAGAGGGAGAAGGAGGCATAAATATATAGAAAGACAGGAAAATCCAGGATCAGATACCTATTTACAGCTGGTGGAGAAAAGCAGGGGGTGAAACACTGCTAAATTAATCATATCCTATGAAAATATGCTTCTTATAACCAAATCTGGAAAGCGTGGGCTGCAAGATAAGACAGAACTCAAAGACAGTGTTATTCAAATGAGGAATAATCATTCTTTAAAAAAAAAAAGGAAAAAAAAAAACCCAGAATCTTCTGCAGATCTATCAATAGGCAATTCAGCATACAATCCTATCTGATTTTATTCAGGTTTCAGGGACATTATTCACATTCAGACAGCCTGCTGAAATCCCCAGACTCATCCAAAATCTGCAAGGTTTATTAGAGGATTTTCATACAGAGCTTATTCTTGCATTTATAGCCTCAGTCGTGATACATTACCAGTGTTGGTGTCTTACTATGCCCTGTGATGGCATCTTTATGGGAATATAGGGTAGTCTTTATTCTTATAATGGATAGTATATATAGAAAAACATATACCACATGAATTCTGTGTGATATAAATCTAAATTGTCTCCAGTATTTGAGCAAAATGTAGTATTTTCAGGCTCGTCTCTGCAGCTCCCTGCAAATTGGGTACAGAATGTGATATTTGGCACTTTGCAGAAATCTCTCTCTCCAACTCCCCCTCCCTATACTCTACCCCTCCTTCCTTTTCTCTCCTGTGGCTCAGCGTCATCAGTAAGAGTTGATGACGCTTGCCTGTAACAGCAGAGAAAGGCAGTTCCCTAACCATGCAACCCATTGATGATAAACTCCACTCTCTCCTCACCCCCCCGCATCTCACCTGCCCACACACTCTTCAGTTACTATATAAAGAGAACCACGAGCTACAGTTCTTTAAATCAGAACCCAGAGACAGTCACCAGGAGAAGAGAACAGGAATACCACATTATTTGGGAAAAGAAGACCTCCAGCAGATTGGAAGACGAAGACGAGAAGAGGAAAGAAGAACGGGGCTCTCTGGACTGACTCTTATTCAGCACCCCAGGGACCCCATCCAAAATGTATCGGTCTACGAAAGGCGCTTCAAAAGCCAGAAGGGACCAAATTAATGCTGAGATTCGAAACTTGAAAGATCTTCTTCCCATCTCTGAAGGAGACAAAGTACGACTATCTTATCTCCACATTATGTCACTTGCCTGCATCTACACCAGGAAATCGGTTTTCTTCTCAAGAGGTAAGATCAGAAAGATGCTGGATTCCTGATTTAGTAGGTTCTTGGCATGGTCTTGTTGTTGCCATAATGCCATTTTTAGGACAGCTTCCCTTCTTTAGAAACTTCCCATCCTTTTGGTTAAATCTTTGTATTTAAGAATTGTTTTTATGCAAACTTTGTGTTTCACTACAATGCTATGCCTGTTTTTATTTGTTGCTAATATATTTCTTTAACCTGCTGCTAATAGCTATTGTGACATAGGCATATAGGCATTTAGTTAAGCAGTATTTGAGCCATCTAGTTGCTGTCCATGGTGCTGAAGCACAGCACAGTTTGTTCAGTCATTCTCCAAGGTCCTGAACACTGATTCTAGATGATTCTTAGTTCAGTGTGTAAACCTTTAGTCGTCAGTAATGTTACAGTGCAGCTAAAAGTTCAAAAGATTTACATTTACCATTATCCTATTTATTTATTTAACAGGTCAACAGATACATGAGTTAGAAAGTCTTCTGTCCAACCAAGACCTACAAGATTTTGTCCACAACCTTCCTGGATTTCTACTAACCTATACAAGTGAAGGAAAGCTGATATACGTGTCAGAAAATGTGACTGATCATCTAGGACATTCAATGGTGAGTCAACATTGCCTATATTAATGCACACATCTTACTGGTACATCTTGTGCTCTTTAATACATTACACACGGACAAAACAAAATACTGAAAAAATTATTTAAGGTTTTTATATCATTTAGCCTTTTTATACCTTTCATATATGCATATACTATATATCATTTTCATATACCCGCATATATATATATTACTATATATCATTTAGCCTTTTTATACCTTTCATATATGCATATACTATATATCATTTAGCCTTTTTATACCTTTCATATATGCATATACTATATATCTTAATGAAGCCTCAGAATGTACTGTGTTTATGATGTACCTAATAAATCCTTAATTGTTTTCAAACAGGTTGATCTGGTTGCTCAAGGAGACAGCATATATGACATCATTGACCCTTCAGATCATTTTGTTATGAGGAATCAACTGGCTCTCCCATCATCTCTTGATAGTGGTAAGTTTTCAAATTGGCAAAATAACAGACCTTAGAGTTCTCTCATTTAACCAGTTTATTAACTGTTACTAAGACCCAAACATCAGCAATGGATTGTATGTATTTTCTTTTAGCCTTATGGTTATATAAATTAACTTTTGATACTACTCTTTAAAGTGCCTCTAAACCAAAGAACAAAATTTAAATATATTGCAGTTTACCAGTCTTTAGATGTGGTGATTGCTCTAGTTTGCTTTTTGCAGACCATTTTTCTTTCTATTTTCACCCCTTGATCCTCCCATTAATACACTTCCTGCCCCAGGGTGACAACACTCACTGTACTGTTTCAATTGAGGAGCAGTGTTGTCACACTACAGAACACCTCCCTTCTTCTCATCTCCATAACACAGGGGGATGGGTTCTGTAGTCTAAAGAATCAAGTGGATAAGCTTAAAAACATTACTTACTGATAACACTGACGAGACCACAAGAAGTTACAAGTTGACAAGATTTCTGGCAGGATCAGCATATTTTTTCTTTTTTGCATTTATCAAGCAAATATAAGTAAATGCTTTTGATTGTATTCTTATCAGACCAAAAGGCATCACATAAGAGTAGTTCATTGTTAGGGTTTACACTTTAAGTGAAGCTACGTCTTAAATAATTGTAAGATTTCAATGGATACTACGTTTTTATATACTATTTTTTAAGAGACACTATGACTATGCTATATTTACCCATATGCTAATTCCATATTAAGGTAGCTTATTAAAAATACCTTAAATAGTGTTATGTATTAATGTCTATATGGTGTACCTTTTGTTTTTTTCAGAGAGAATGTTCAGGTGTAGATTCAATACCTCAAAGACAGCTAGAAGGCAGAGTGCAAGTAACAAGCTTGTCCTGATACGAGGAAGATTTCAACCGTCCCCACCTGGCACCTACTGGTCATCAAACCCTGTCTTTACAGCCTTCTGCATTCCTCTTGACCCAAAGCCCAGAGTAACAAATAACCATTTCCTAATGGACTTCTTTGAGAGCCGCCATAGCAAGAATCTTTCAGTGCTGGATGTTTCAGAGAGGTAAATATCATATATGCCTCCAGTTCTATAACATCCTTAAGTGTAACCAGTTGAGTCATGTTTCATTAGCACTACGAAAAAGACAGTGATAACTAAAATGTTATTGTTCTTTCCTCCTAGGTCAGAGCTGCACTTAGGTTATGACAAGAATGATATGATCTGCAAGTCGTGGTACAATATAATTCACCCTGAAGACCTCACCCAGCTGTCTACACAACATTACAAGCTATGTAAGTTGGCATAACTGAATGTGTAAGCAAAAAAGGGAAATTTAATTATATTTATAAACAGCTCAGTAATGTAGTAAGCTATCAGGTAGTGAGAATAATTTTTGCATAGAATCAAAATGAAAATAGAATTGCATTGAAACAAAAACCACTGAAAAGGTGAAAAAGAGAAAAAAAGGACATCATAAAATGGAGAATATATAGAAAACAACTAAAAGGGATATTTAGAGAACAGGTAGAGCAGAAGATAAATTAAACTGTAGCTGAAGAAGCAAAGAAAGATATTTTCTTGACTTTCCATTCATTACTGTAATTGAACTAACTTCCTGTTTTTTTCTCTTTATAGTAAATGACACAAGTGAATGCAGAGCAGAAGTGGTGTTACGTCTGCAAAGAAAAGATCTTCAGTGGATAGGTGTATTCTCTTATGCTTCTTGAAAATACAGAGGCTCCAATCACATCCTATAATTATATTATAAGGTAAGGTTTTATAGATAAAACATACAATGTAGTGTAGTAATTAATCACACATGTCCTATAATATACTATATACTATATACTAAAGTAAAGTTTGTTTTGTCTTCCCAGTGAGGCAGAAGCCTGGTGCCTGAAACAACAGCTAACTACAGAGGAGTCTCCACTTTCCTTCTCAGTCAGTGGCCCTCCATCATATCAAGAGACCCTCCTCTCCCCAGGAGACCTTTCCAGCCCTGATCAAGTGTTCACTCCCCTTGCAAACACACCAACAAGTATTAGTCAATCCTTTGAGTTTTCAGAGCCTGTTCCAGTCAGCCCTGAAGATCCTGTCTTGTGCCAAAATGCTGCACCAATTATGGAAGAATCTGTTGCTACTGAGACCCAAGTAGAAAATCAGTCTCTCTTTAGCCTTTATCAGTCAACCCCATATGATCAAAGCTTTAGAAGTGAACAAGTTGGAACAGCACCTCCCAAAGATTTCACCTGTACTCCTCCATATACCCCACACCAGAACTGTAGTTTTCTTTTTGGGGTTCCAGAAAGTGCTCCACAAACATCTTCTGAACAAGACTTAACTACCTTAAATCCAGAAGTGTACTACTCTTACTGCAGCTCCCTCTATGAGAAGCTGCCTCCAACTCCAGATAGTCCTGGGGAAGGTGGAGACTGCACAGTAATGACAGTACCAGAAATCCCTGGCCCTCTTTTTGTGGATCTGCCAATGCTTCCTGAGGGGTTAGTGACTCCTGAAACTTCACCAATTAATCAAGTCATCTTCAGGTATTCAGAGCAAGAGAAGAATGAGATAGACTTGTTGGTCAAACAAATTGGCTCCTTAGCCAACGTGTTCAGTAACGTGGCAAATAAAGACATCCCATGCTCTGAGAGCATGATTTTGAGTGGCCATGGACTGGCATGCCGAAGTATTTCTCTCCCTGCCAGTCTTCCAGAAGCTGATTCTGCTCCTAACTTTTCTCGATCCTGGAAGAGCATAGACCTCTCTCTTTTCTTGACATGCCAAGAGCAACCTCTCTCTACTGCTAACCATCCAGTATGCAGCCTTTTCAAAGACTTCCCTGACTCTCCACCCTTTGCAGCCATGGGGTCTCCTTGCAGCCCCCTGGAGGAGGATGAAATACGAGGGGACCTCTCCGTATCTCCATCCATGATTTCAAACGCGACAACTGATCTGTCGCCAGAAGAATGTAACTTCTTAGAGGAACTGATGTCCTACAAAACAGACCTTGAGGCAGGTGCCTCAGAGATTCAATGTGACCGGTTTAATGATGAGTTGTATCAACTCCAGATTCAGCTGCAAGACGGCTTCCAGCAAGGTATGTTATTCATGATAATGCTAAAAATCTAGATGGAAAGTAAATGCATGCAAAATACACACAGTTTAAAGCCTAAACAATTAGCTAAAATACAAATCTCACATACTCATCTGCATAATTAATTGAACAACCTACCCATTGAACAAAACTATAGTCGGTAAACATAAATAAGTTGAGAAAACATCAAGTCTGCTGTTGTTGCCTGAAGTGGTTGAAAGAGTGTACTAATTTTTGCTTTTCATTTTTTTTCTCTACAGATGGAAGTGGAAAACCTTCGTTTTGAAATAAGTCTGTGACTTGCTTCGATATGTATGGCATATTGTCATATCCTGAGCAGAATTTTTCTGCCTTATTATGAACAAAAGAAGACGCACAAAATGGGGGAGAAAACGACTTTCTGCGTCGTCAATCTCTCCTGTTCATCGCAAAACTGTTTTGTTCCCTTTTTCTCTTTCATTCCTCTACTCTCTTTTTTATGGAATTTGTGCACGTTTACATAATGCAAGAGACCTCTTTTGTTCTCATTTGAAAATAACAGTGAAAATAATGGCCCATCCTTTGAAGTTACCATTGTGTGTTTAGACTGTACACAAAAAACACATACAGATAAAAACAATCCTGATACTTTTCTTCAGTATTTAAACACATGTAAAGAAAATATTTTCTTGTTAAAAACATTTGTTTAAACTTAGAAATGGGATGGGCCATTGTTACAAAAACTTTGTACAACCTGTCAATTTATACAAAAAAAAAAAGGGTTTGCAGAACTGAATAGAAAGAAAAACAGGAGGGTATTGTGTAAGGAAGTTGTAAGTAGTCTTACATAAAACAAAAATGTATTCACTCGTAGTGAAACTAAAAAACAATATATGGTATTTATTTTTGCTAAATTGCGACCAGTTCAAAGGTTTTTTTCCTGTCTAGCATTCGAAATTTCCTTTAACCATAAATGTGGCATTATGTCCTAAATATTCTGTACAACAAGCATCTGTAAAACATTTAAGACATTTACTGTATCAAAACCCTGCACATGTCCATTTTCAACACAATTGTGCTTTAATCCAAAGCAACTAAATCAATTATCAGCTTTCATTGGTCTCATCATAATAGACTCTAAAAAGCTGACTAGTGTTGTGAATTACAGACCTTGTTGCATTACCACATAAGACTTTAAAAGTTTTTTTAAATTAAAAGAGCATTAAATATGTCACAAAGTTTTTTCAAATCACATCCGATAACTAATGAAAACTGTTCTATGAGAAAATTCAACACAGGCATGCCAGCATGTATTACCTTTGCTATTTTTTTTATATTGCAAACATTTCCTTTGCTGGCAGCCAGTCCCTAATAGGCCACTAAACCTATGACATATTTTACCAAGCAAGTATTATATATATATATATATATATATATATATATATATATGAACTTCAATTACTCAAAAGGGCTGGAGATATTTCACACTATTTTAACATTTGCTGTGATGGCAGGAGCAAATTATTTTCTGAGCTAAGTATCAAAATCTTCAGCATAGGGTGAAGAAAACTGCAGCATCTTTAAGATCAGATAACTGGCAATAAGTCAGTCGTGTGTGTGAATTTATTGCCCATATTGTGATAACTTTATTTCTGATATCTGCAGTTGTGATAGCAACTTTAAATATAACACGCAGCTCTTTTATTTTAAAAACTGCTGTTTTAGGGTTTACCAGTCCTTTAATTCCAGTTGCATTCTTTGCAAAACAGGATGCTACATGTTTAACATGTCTTTTGTTATTACAGATATGGTTATTCATCTTTACCATTTTTGTGCAATATTATTCAGTTAAAATATTATTGTACAATGAAGCTATATCTACAAAATAGAAAATAATCTACAATTCCTACTCACTGGTACAGACTGGGATTACATTAATCCCCGGTAATTATTAAATACTGCACATTAAATATATTGAGTTATATTCCTATTATTATCCCCTGTATGTTTCAGACTTAATATAAAAGATAAACATTATTTCAGATAGTTGCAGTATGTCCCTAAAATGTATATGCATTGCATAGAACAATGCTGATTCACATTTTTTTGATAACTGCCAGTTATAACTTTCTTTATCAGATGCATTTGGTAAAAAAAAAAAAAGAGACAAAATATCAACCTGAAATTATGGTATTATGGCTAAAATAATCCATATTGAAAATATTGGTACACAGCTAAACTGTGCCTTTTTAATTAAAAATATATATGTTGGGGGTTATTGCACCTTTGAAAAAAGGGATTGTGTTTAAAACACAGTCTCTGAATTAAATGTGATAACAGTGCTTGCTAAGAAGCAAAGTAAAATAAACTATATATGTTTCAAAATTATGGTGCTGTGGAGTGCCATAAAAGATGACGTAGGATTTTGCTACGATTTAAGTATAAGGATATTTTTTCCTGAACTGCTGTTTTTCAAATGTTTGAGAGAAATGGTGAAAAAGTAAAAAAAAAAAATATATGAAATGTACATTTATAAATATACATATTTATAATTTTTTTTAATGTGTATGCAAACTGACTTGTGTTGGGCTGGTGATGTAAAGTCCTGGTCTTGTACAAAGTGTTTTTTTATGGATATGATAAAGAGATATATGAACAAAAATGTGTTTGTGTTTTATTCCGATATTGGAAACAAGAGCTCCCTTTAAGCTATTACACGGGTAGTCCAGTTTTGGCAAGTAAATGGTATGAGTCCTTTCGATTACTTAGCCTTAAACAACTGTAAGTATGGTTGCACATGTCTCAAACACAGTGTCTTATGCTTACTGTTTTATTCATTAAGCAGGTGGGTAGTTAGGTAGGTTTCTTAAATGTATCCTTTTAAAAGCTCACCAAAGCTAAGAACGCATAGCAAGGGGCATCACATCTTATGATTTCTATATGAATGTTTTCACAAATACACATAGATCATGTGAATTTGGTCCCAAACAATGCTTAGGAAACTATTTACTTGCTAAAGCAAAATTTTATGTATGAATATATATATATATATATATATATTTTTTATATATATATATTTTTTTATATTACATTAAATTGTGTCCTTGCCCCAAATACTGTACCATATATGGTTGTATTTACCATAAGGCATTTTAGTCAAGTACTGGTTAAGAAGGGGCAAGGTCAAAACTCAAAATGTATGCTTGATGACCCATAACAAGTAAGCAGATTAGCAGACTTTGCTAATCTTAGAGCTTGTCCAGGGCCTGCTGTTAACAGAGTTAAATGACTGAAGCTCAAATCAAACACATAGCTTTAAAAAAAAGCCAGAGGAGTGACCCCTCCTCTTTAGGGCTCTGTATAGAATTTCAATGAAAGCCAATGATAAAGGAAGAGGCTACTGCTGTTGTGCCTCTTTAGAGGTTCATGCCTCTCTCTATGGCATCATTCGGACCCACCAAGTATGTCACTATGGTTTTCTATTATCTCTAAAATAAAACAAATGGGGTAACTCACTTCCACCCATTAGAAAGCATTGATTTCACTGGACGGAATTCCACTTTTCTGGAGAATGTGAGGCCATCCCGAGACTTGACTGAACTCATGCAATTCCAAATGGGAACCTTTGTTGGTGATCTAGAAGAGAGGTAGATTGACTAGCTAAACCTCCCTTCAACCTAAACTTAGCCTCATGATTTTTTGTCTTACCCAGCACCCCTACTCCTTGACCATATCCCCATCCCTTCTTCCTGATCAGCCAATTTCGAAATTCAGTTTCTGGGAAACATAAAAGGCTATGTACAGGTGAAACTCTAAAAATTAGAATATCGTGCAAAAGTTCATTTATTTCAGTAATGCAACTTAAAAGGTGAAACTAATATATGAGATAGACTCATTACATGCAAAGCAAGATAGTTCAAGCCGTGATTTCTCATAATTGTGATGATTATGGCTTACAGCTCATGAAAACCCCAAATCCACAATCTCAGAAAATTAGAATATTGTGAAAAGGTGCAATATTCTCGGATCAAAGTGTCCCACTCTAATCAGCTAATTAAGCCATAACACCCGCAAAGGGTTCCTGAGCCTTTAAATGGTCTCTCAGTCTGGTTCAGTAGGAATCGCAATCATGGGAAAGACTGCTGACCTGACAGTTGTGCAGAAAACCATCACTGACACCCTCCATAAGGAGGGAAAGCCTCAAAAGGTAATTGCAAAAGAAGTTGGATATTCCCAAAGTGCTGTATCAAAGCTCATTAATAGAAAGTTATGTGGAAGGGAAAAGTGTGGAAGAAAAAGATGCACAAGCAGCAGGGATGACCGCAGCCTGGAAAGGATTGTCAGGAAAAGGCCATTCAAAAGTGTTGGGGACTTTCACAAGGAGTGGACTGAGGCTGGAGTCAGTGCATCAAGATCCACCACACAGAGACGGATCCTGGACATGGGCTTCAAATGTCGCATTCCTCTTGTCAAGCTGCTCCTGAACAACAAACAACGTCAGAAGCATCTTACCTGGGCTAAAGAAAAACAGACCTGGTCTGTTGCTCAGTGGTCCAAAGTCCTCTTTTCTGATGAGAGCAACTTTTGCATCTCATTTGGAAACCAAGGACCCAGAGTGTGGAGGAAGAATGGAGAGGCACACACTGCAAGATGCTTGAAGTCCAGTGTGAAGTTTCTACAGTCTGTGTTGATTTGGGGAGCCATGTCATCTGCTGGTGTTGGTCCACTGTGCTTCAGTAAGTCCAGGGTCAACGCAGCCATCTGCCAGGAGCACTTTGGAGCACTTCATGCTTCCTTCCGCAAATGAGCTTTATGGGGATACTGACTTCATTTTCCAGCAGGACGTGGCACCTGCCCACACTGCCAAAAGCACCAAAACCTGGTTCAATGACCGTGGGATTACTGTGCTTGATTGGCCAGCAAACTCGCCTGACCTGAACCCCATAGAGAATCTATGGGGCATTGCCAAGAGAAAGATGAGAGACATGAGACCGAACAATGCAGAAGATCTGAAGGCCGCTATTGAAGCATCCTGATCTTCCATAACAGCTCAGCA